CTCTGTGCCTGTCTCTGGCTCGCTGCCCTGTCCCTGCCCAGGTCTCTTTGTGTGCCTGTCTCTGTCTCTGTGCCTGTCTCTGGTTCGCTGCCCTGTCCCTGCCCAGGTCTCTTTGTGTGTGTGTCTCTGTCTCTGTGCCTGTCTCTGGCTCGCTGCCCTGTCCCTGCCCAGGTCTCTTTGTGTGCCCGTCTCTGTCTCTGTGCCTGTCTCTGGTTCGCTGCCCTGGTCTCTTTGTGTGCCTGTCTCTGTCTCTGTGCCTGTCTCTGGCTCGCTGCCCTGTCCCTGCCCAGGTCTCTGCATTGCACAAGGAGCTCAGGAATGTGTAAGATGCTGGGAGCCCAGTAACAACAGGGGTCATGTTACTGCACATGATGTAACTCGCTATCTCTCAATGCTGGCGTTCCTCTTGCATAACTGCTGGTAACCTCACCCCTGTGTGAACTTGATCCTAACATTTCAGGAGTTCTAGTCTCACATGTTACACAGGTTACATCACGGGTTTGAAAGATAGTAGAAACCTTTTTTCAGGAATGCAGGTTCCTTGATTTCAATCAAGTGTGCATGCATATCTTTGACTACACTAGAGAGCACTGAAGGACTGGGGCTCTCAGGGCTGAACTGAGCCAGTTACTGTCTTCATGAGTCCAGACTCACAGTGACCTTTAACCCCTGACTGAAGACACTAGAGCACTGAAGGACTGGGGCTCTCAGGGCTGAAGTGACCTGAAAGACTGTTCCTGCAGCACCAGTCAGGCTCGTTCCCCTGTCTGTGCTGTAGTTGTGACCTGAAGCCCATCCTGGCGTCATGATCCGACGAGTCCTGCCTCCCCGCTTTCGCTTGACGTCTGCCGCTTCCTTATCTCCCCTCGTCCGCGCTCTCCTTCCTCATTCCGTTCCGGAGCTGCCCCTCCCCCGCCCGTCTGTCGCGGTCCGTCTCGCAGGGCCACGTGGTTGTTTCTCTGGGAGAGCCGCGCTTCTGCCGCGGAGTCGCTGAAGGCCTTCGCTGGGCGAGATCCGCGGATCGGCTACCAGCCAGGCAGCCAAGGCCGAGTGCCGAGTGGCTTTGTTCTGGTGAAATATGCAGATGGGATGACAGCCGAATTCTGCACTCTCTAGTGTGCAGTATCTGTAGGGCCTGTGTTATAGACTGTATTGATTTTTCACTGTTAAGATTATCTCCAGGATCTGTTTTAGGGTCTGTGTTCATCTCTCTGTTTGTGGAGTGTCTCTGGGGTCTGTATTCAGCTCTCTGTTTGAGGAGTGTCTCTGGGGTCTGTATGAGGGTCTGTACTAATCTCTCTGTGTGAGGAGTGTCTCTGGGGTCTGTATGAGGGTCTGTACTAATCTCTCTGTGTGAGGAGTGTCTCTGGGGTCTGTATGAGGGTCTGTATTTAGCTCTCTGTGTGAGGAGTGTCTCTGGGGTCTGTATGAGGGTCTGTATTAATCTCTCTGTGTGAGGAGTGTCTCTGGGGTCTGTATGAGGGTCTGTATTAATCTCTGTGTGAGGAGTGTCTCTGGGGTCTGGATGAGGGTCTGTATTAATCTTCGTAGGGGGTCTCTCTGATAGATGCTTTTCTCTCTCTCTCAGTACCCCAGCTGTCCTCCAAAGATCTCCATTCACAACCCCAGAGGTCTGTCAGATGAGATCCTGCGCAGGTAAGGAACCCAGCTTTGTGATTCTGTGCTGAGCAGAATTTATTCCTCCCGCAGTGATGGGCAGTGTGTTTTGATGACTCTCTCCCCCTCTTTCTCTCCCCTCACACGTTCTCCTCCTCCTGCTCTGCTCCGCTCTGTTCTTCGCTCCCTCTCTCCCAGCGTTCAGCAGTGCCTGGAGTCGCTGGCTCAGTCCTCGGCCGGGGCCCCAGTCCTGTACGAGCTGATCGAGGTGAGTGAGTGAGCGAGACTTGTCCCCCCCC